ATCGAGCCTTGACCTAACGGTCTGATCCATCAGGCAATGGAAGTAACATCAAAAGATGCAATCTGTTATATATTGTGACTGCTAATTAGGGAGCAGTGAATTATCGATCGAACCAATGACGTGTAAAATCTGTACGAGCAGTCTAGAGTACTTATCAGTTGTGCTTCCTGCTTAACCTCACTGTTAGAGTCCAGAACACCAATCACAGCCTCTGAAATATGAATCATTTATTTCAAAATATACTGGTTTATATACCAACCAGACAGACCACATCGTACCATAAAATAGGACACAACATATGTAAAGAATTAGCCAAAAGTGTTGTGAATGTGGGAGATAATAATTGATAGATGGGCATAACTCAAGAATGGTAAATCGTATAATAATAGTTCATAGGTCAAAATAAAGCTTGGGATAACAGGGACATGAATATGAATAGTTTAGTTACATAACGATTGTACGATAAAAATATGCGCATAGTATGAGTCCATAAATAGATCCGAAAAGTTACCAATCATTATGCTTATCGGGACATAACACAATCCCATGGTAGCCAATGACTAACAATAGGTTCATACGGTATTTTTCGCCTCAGGATCCTGGAGACCATGTGTACCATTGGTTCGGAATCATGGTTTATGAACTCCCATAGGTTGATCTTCTGTATCCACTAATCCGGTTAAAGTGTCGGACATTTGCTTTTCATCCTTTCAGTTTTGTGAACAACACCCCTGCCGTGAGAAGGCAATGGGTAAGACATCCTTGACAGTGGCTATATACGTGTGGCCATGTGAGAGCATTTCGAGAAAAAGAAATGACTCTCCTAACTCTCAGCCGTACCAGGTCATTTGAAGTTATCAATATTTATCTTCTATGAAGACATCATTGTAGAGCATAGCAACAAGATGATAATAATTCTTAAAAAAAATACAAGTATGATGAAATTTAAAACTTTAAATGAAATCTTCAGTTAAAATCACACTTTTACATATAACATCTATTAAATGCTTAGGAGTTCCATCTCAGAACGAAACAGTCGTTCAATGCTTTCAACTTTTCCATGAATTGATTAGTTTCTAATAAATATATTGACTTGTAGAACAAATTTCATACTTTATCACTGGTTATAATCAGATATTATCTAACTAGAGATAAGACTATAGTGTTTAAAAGGATACCCAATTGTGGTCAAAATATTATTATAAGAACATCAATATGAATATAAAATACAATTAGCTAACGAGTTCAAAATATAGAGAAATGAGAAATTCTAATAATCTTAAAACTATAGAATAAATGAATTCTTGATAACGATGAGATTCAGACACGCATGTATGTTATCATCGATTTGTTAAGGAAGGTATTTTTGTGTCTCAGATCTGACTCCATATTAGAAGATTACGTATTCGAATCATGTCGAACTCACCACTTTAATGGTTCGGATCTGTCTTCAATTACATTGTATGTTTGATTATTATTGAAATATACATATCGTCAATCCTCGTATATAATTATCGACTTAACTCACATTAGTGAATATAACAGAATTAAATAAGCCGATTACGAGAATTGATGATATATCTATTTCAATAACAACCATTCATATAATCCAATTAGAGTCAAATATTGAAATACAAAAGTACATAATTCTAGTATTTATATAAATATAAAGATGCGGACACATCAATGCGTATTCAATAATAGGAAGCGATCTATGGTCTGGATTCTGTTGCTAGTCAAATCTCATCTATCGTTAACATTCAATTTAACTTTGCGCATATGTTTATGCTTATGTTTCTTATGAATAGTTATTTCTATATTTCCATCATATTGATTGATATGTTTACTCTTTATTCTTTTTAATAAAACTGAATTAGTTTCAACAAATTATTGGATTGATTCAACTATTTATCATCAATCAAATAATACAGCAATTGATTGGGATGCATCATATGCTGACACGACATCATTGAATTATGCTACACTATCTACAAGATATTGTGATTTAGTAAGTGTATTTATGGTTTTTACTTTTAATTTGTTTATTTAAATGAATACCTAGATGAATGATAATTTTTCCGTTTCGAAAATTCATATCTTGTCATTACCGTGGCTTTTCGATCTTTTTTGATGAATATTTTTATACTACTTATATAATTTAAGTAGACAAAGAAATTACTTATCATTTACGGCGAATATGCATATATGAGTATCAAAAACTAACTAGTATTGTTGAAGAGAATCAAATCTAATGAAAGTATATAGAAGAAAGTTTAATAAAAATACATATCTAATCATCTTTTCTGACAAACTTATTTTTGATAAAAATGTAGATTACACAAGTACTCTTTGCTCTAAGTGACTAAATAGCTAAGAAAAATGCTAATCTTACAATTTAAAATAAGAGCTTTTAATGTTGAACATCTATATCGGAATGGAAAACATCTAGTAGCTTTTGTATACCAAATAAAATACTATTAAGTGTAAAGTTCACTTCAAAATATGCGCATAACCTGTTCAACCTTAAAGGGAAATTTAGAAAAGTTAAAATAATGAAAATATTAGTTTCTTTTGAAAACTTTTAATATGTTTTGTTGATGAGTACAAATTAAAATGGAGACCCGATAAAACAGGTTTTCTTACTAATTCCCTCTGTTTATTAAAATACAATGCTATGAAATCCTGTTTTATCTCCATTTTTGATAAAATAGTTTTAATAAACTCTACCGAATATGGTTGGAATAATTCACATAATTACTGTTGCTGTATTTTAATATGAATAATTTGAGTAACAGCTAGTTGTACCGCTATAACCATCTTGTTATATAGAAACAAGTATTCTTTTTGTAAAATTTAGTACAAATGAATAAAATATAAAGTTTGCAACTACTAACAATACATCAGTCCTGAACTCCGAAAAAATGATTGAATGAAACTGAGCTACTGAATATAATTAAGTAGTCCAATTGTATAAACTAAAAGTACAAATCAGTTAGAGTGTTAAATATAATCGATATAAAATCATATTATTATTAATGGCTTTATTCAATATTACATTTTTGGTATACGATAGAATTCTCAGCACAAAGTATTTCAACGAGTTTCAATTTCTTATTTCTTGACGGATCCTGACGATAAATGTTGAGTGATCAGCAATTAGATGTTAGCAGTTTTGGTCAATCGACACCTGATTAATGTATGTTCGTTTCGATACATATTGACAGCAACCGCGATATCTGTGATAGGACTCTCTTGTAACTTGTACAGCGCAATGTCGTCAACATTTTACAAATGCACCTGAATAGGTTATACGACTAGTGGGCATAATGATCTGTTGAAACAAACAAGAAAACAGATAATTCCTTAAAATATTCAGATGTCAGGAAACAGGTAACTCAGACATTCAGACAGGCCACTTTGATCTTGATCATCTTGAATCAACATTTGGATCCACTTAAAAAATTCATAATTATTTTAATCTATATTTTATATTCAACTTTTATAGATAATGAGAACTTTACAAAAAGCTTCACTTACAGCGAATAAACAAAAATCATGTACTAAAGTAGTATTTACACCAAGACAAATATTAATTATCTGGGAAAAACGACAAGCTACAACTAATACATCATCGAATGTAGTTGGTGGGAACGCTACAATACAAATGAATACAACATCAGCTGATGTAGTTAATACAACTGACTTTTCTAATGCATTTATTACTACATATAATACAAGCACACAATCCAATGATACAATACAATTGTTTGATTTACAAGCTGGACGTAAGTAGTATATTTTCATACTGATTTACTTTATTATAACATCATATATATATATATATATATATATATATATATATATATATATATATATATATATATATATATATGGATAGATAGATAGATAGATAGATAGATAGATAGATAGATAGATAGATAGATAGATAGATAGATAGATAGATAGATAGATAGATAGATAGATAGATAGATAGATAGATAGATAGATAGATAGATAGATAGATAGATAGATAGATAGATAGATAGATAGATAGATAGATAGATAGATAGATAGATAGATAGATAGATAGATAGATAGATAGATAGATAGATAGATAGATAGATAGATAGATAGATAGATAGATAGATAGATAGATAGATAGATAGATAGATAGATAGATAGATAGATAGATAGATAGATAGATAGATAGATAGATAGATAGATAGATAGATAGATAGATAGATAGATAGATAGATAGATAGATAGATAGATAGATAGATAGATAGATAGATAGATAGATAGATAGATAGATAGATAGATAGATAGATAGATAGATAGATAGATAGATAGATAGATAGATAGATAGATAGATAGATAGATAGATAGATAGATAGATAGATAGATAGATAGATAGATAGATAGATAGATAGATAGATAGATAGATAGATAGATAGATAGATAGATAGATTTAAATAACCAATTCCTATACTTTTATTTGAACAAATATAAGTAGTATCGACAATCATTATACAGATATCGAATGTAGAATTCAATGCACAAATCGGATCCATTCTCATCAGAATAAGTACTCGTATAAATGTGATAGAACATAAGCCCAGTGATTAACATTTGCTGAGAATGTCGATTATGATGTAAAATATGTCACTTAAATATTTTTTAGATTTCAAGGAGTTGACTTCCTTTATTGATAATCGATTTAAAATTTTTTTAAAAACGTTTTTCTGAAGACTTAAAACACTGTTGACAACTTGTAACTCTTCTAGAGTTATTACTGGCGCCATGTCCGAGTAAAAGGAGAAGGGTTGGATATGAGGTCAACAATCTCATGCTGTAGAAAAAAAAACCTTGCTAAAAACAACGCCAACTAGAATAGGCATCTTATGCTCCTCCATAAGGGGTAACAGGTGTAAGCATGTTACACTATTGACAAGAAGTATTGCTTCATCTAGATTTCGATTCAACTAGTAATAGTGTACAAGATATATCTGTATTGTCAAAGGAACTGATGCACTCCAGTAAGATTCAAGTCATTTTTATTAAACATTAAGAGATAAAATTGAAATCTTTGAAACCATTGATCAACCAATGAGTAGTAGTTGAACAGATCTACTACAAAGTGTTGATTAAATCCACATTGATCAATTATGAATTAGGGATTTATGATTCTGAGAATACAACATCAATTGATTCATCTTAATTAATAATGTTACATGCTAAATGATGACCTAATGAACAATTTGGAAGAGCAAAATATTATAATAAATCTTGAATGTATTCAAGATGTATATTTGTCAATGATCTAAACAAGCGGAATCATAGAACTTCATTGTTAAACTATTACTTCGTTACTTTCGCCTGTTACTCCTAAAGGAGCATAGGTTGCCGACCACCATTCTACAACTTCCTCTGTCCTAGTCTTTTCTTTCTAGTTCTATCCAGTTGTTGTTCATTCTTTTCATGTCTATCTACATTCCTCGGCGTGATGTGCTCTTTGGTCTTTCTCTTCACCTTTGACCTTGTGGTTTCCATGTGAGGGCTTGCCTTGTGACACAGTTGGGTGCTTTCCTCAATGTATATTCTATCCACTTCCACAGCTTCTTCCCGGTTTCTTCCTCCGCTGTGATTTGGTTTGTTCTCTTTCACAGTAGTTTGTTGTTGATAATGTCTGGTCAACGAATCTAAAGTATTTTGAGTAGAAAACTGCGCCTGGAACCCTTCTTCGGCTATTGCCAGTACAAATCCGAATAAAGGAAGAGGATTGGGCATTGGGTTAGTGACCCTATCCTGTAGAAAACTAACTTGCTAAAAAATTCTAACTAGAATAATGTTAAACTATACTTATCATAATCTCACTGAATGAAAATTTAGTACTGCCAAGTTCTTATTCATAAAAAAGAAACAAAAGATGTTTGCCTGAGAACATTGTGCACAACAGTGATAATCTATTTAAAATATCTAGATACTACTTATATACATACATGTATATGGTATGCTAGTTGATAATCCATTTCAAATATACATGGTGAATTAGTAAATACAAGTCTAAGCAATCAATAAATAAGTGTAACATTTGAGAAATTGAAAAGTGGGCAAGCTGATTGATTCCAGTTATTAATTGAGCAAACTGATGCTTCAGTTAAAAAGAAAAGCCTCAATTCATAAAGGAAACAAAACTTCCGCAACAATTAAACCTTGAATAATAAAAAAAAACCGAAGTAGAACGGGGATTCGTGGTGATTGTAGTGAATTTTAATAGTTGAATTCATAAGTCGATATAATCTAGAATACTAGTGAAAATCTGGAAACAGTGGACGGCCTTTTCGACCCAGTATGAGACTCCTCAGTAGTGCGCATCTACGATCATGCACAAGAGACTCTAATGAAAGACTTTTGGTTAAGCGCGCAAACTCTTAGCATCTACACCACTCAGCTCGTATCCAACAGTATTAATGTTTAATTTCAATTAATCCATGATATTGCACAATCCGTTATCCATCGTCAACTATTGTCTCACACCCTACATGGATACACATTCAAGAGGAGTCCCATACCAGTACGAAACTGTCGTTCATTCCTTCCAAGAATAAAGATGGTTCATTCATTTGTTTACTGGAACCTGTTTAATAGTATAAACGTGATAAACACAAATACAGAGATTAATGAATTGTACTTGAAATCTCTATAAGTATAAACAATTCATGCATTAGGAAAACTAGCACCCATTTAAATAGAAATAAACATGAGATCATCAAATTATATCATAAATTATATATAGTTGCTATGGCAACAAAGTTAAAAAAACGAAACCAGAGATGACCTTGAATGGGAACGAAAACATACGAACAGCTTTGATTATAAAATACAAAAAAAAACTGGCATGACAACAAAAAATAAACAACAATAAAAACTAAGTCGAAAATAAATTGAAACAACCGAATTGATTAAGAAACCAAAACAAAACATTACACCGCTAGGCAATAAAACGAAACCCATTTAAAAAAAAATATAAAATCAATTCATAAAATCACAAATAAACCATGTAAACATACTTTATTACAGAGACGGCCAGTAACACAAATAACACAGCAATCACAGACACAAATATATCAGCAACAATTACACAAATGACAAACCCAACAACACAGACCACGAAAAAAGAGATAACAAATATCACACTAACAACAAATTTATCCCCATTAAATGACACGCCGACAACAACGTCCACCAGCATCACAACTACACCAGTCACACTCAACGCCACCACTCTACCAACAACCCTCAACACCGAAAACACAACCACAAACACCACTCCTCTCACAATCACACTCAACGCCACAACAACTTCCATCACACCAGCATCACAATCCGCACCAATCAATACAAGCACAACAACAACTCAAACTCAAACCAACCTCACAACTACAACTGGTCCAACTGCATCTACTGAAACTACTCCATCCACCGCATCAACCACAACCACTACCACAACCACAATCACCAATCCAAACATAACCACCATCACTCTACCCACAACACCCTACACATCTATCAACACGTCCACAACAACATCCACCAGCATCACAACTACACCAGTCACACTCAACGCTACCACTCTACCAACAACCCTCAACACCGCAAACGCAAATGCAACCGCAACCGCAACCGCAACCACAACCACAATCACCACTCCTCTCACAATCACACTCAACGCCACTACAACTTCCATCACACCAGCATCACAATCTGCACCAATCGATGCGAGCACAACTCAAACTCAAAACAACCTCACAACTACAACTGGTCCAACTGCATCTACTGAAACTACTCCATCCACCGCATCAACCACAACCACTACCACAACCACAACCACCAATCCAAACATAACCACCATCACTCTACCCACAACACCCTACACATCTATCAACACGTCCACAACAACATCCACCAGCATCACAACTACACCAGTCACACTCAACGCTACCACTCTACCAACAACCCTCAACACCGCAAACGCAAATGCAACCGCAACCGCAACCGCAACCACAACCACAATCACCACTCCTCTCACAATCACACTCAACGCCACTACAACTTCCATCACAACAGCATCACAATCTGCACCAATCAATACAAGCACAACAACAACTCAAACTCAAACCAACCTCACAACTACAACTGGTCCAACTGCATCTACTGAAACTACTCCATCCACCGCATCAACCACAACCACTACCACAACCACAACCACCAATCCAAACATAACCACCATCACTCTACCCACAACACCCTACACATCTATCAACACGTCCACAACAACATCCACCAGCATCACAACTACACCAGTCACACTCAACGCTACCACTCTACCAACAACCCTCAACACCGCAAACGCAAATGCAACCGCAACCGCAACCACAACCACAATCACCACTCCTCTCACAATCACACTCAACGCCACAACAACTTCCATCACAACAGCATCACAATCTGCACCAATCGATGCGAGCACAACTCAAACTCAAACCAACCTCACAACTACAACTGGTCCAACTGCATCTACTGAAACTACTCCATCCACCGCATCAACCACAACCACTACCACAACCACAACCACCAATCCAAACATAACCACCATCACTCTACCCACAACACCCTACACATCTATCAACACGTCCACAACAACATCCACCAGCATCACAACTACACCAGTCACACTCAACGCCACCACTCTACCAACAACCCTCAACACCGCAAACGCAAATGCAACCGCAA